TTGACAAGGTTTTTTCCCTCTCTTCGGGGATTTTCTATATTATGGAAACCAATTGTTTGTGCAAAAAAATAAAGATGAAGATTCAGGTGTTATCTTTCTCGAAAATTGCTTCTCGATGGAGAGAGTATTTCAATTTTTGAGTGGTCCACCCCATATGCTCTTCTTATCCAATGCCTTTTCTTAGAGTGAAAGTTCGAATTTCAGATTTTCAATCCTTTATCCATTGTGCAACAATCTTATTCATAGGTTCTTTAGGATCATTTTCGTGAGTTGACATTCTTTCATCATTACGTTGGAAAAAGATTGTTTTTTATACTTTTTAAATTATTTAAATGTTAAAAAAACTATGTTGCCTCTCATCAAAATGGTTAAATGCAAGTCAAATGGTGATATTTGGTCTACAAACATGCCTTTGAACGGAAATTGTCTAGAGATCATTATATCGCACATCTATTGAGAATTTTGAAACATAACTGCTGGGATTTAAAAGATTGAAACCGCATTGCACATTTTCAAAAAAACATTAGTTAATTATTTTTAGGACTATAACACCAATTCAAAACCTATTGCAACCCTTGTGTGATAAAACTTAAAATTAGCATTTAAGCAAAATTTGACATTTTGAAAATTCAAACCTTGAATAAACTATTCACTCGTGAGAATATCAATAGAAATAATTATATTCAGACCACTTGTTAGGATTGATACCACTTGTTGTGACGTCAATCACCGGATTGAGATGTTGAAGTTATATGATCAAGCAAAAGAATTAAAGAAGACAAAAATATGGTAGAGAAATTAAAAGATTTCATTGCACCAAGAATAATGGAGAAAAGAGAAAATTACAATAGATCCTAAAATTCTAGTAATCTATTTTCTCACATGTAATTGTTACCAAAAATTGTATAGAAGAGCCTAGTATTTATAGGGAACATGTAGAGGTCGTCCAAATCATTTTGGTGGAGTTGTTGATGAAGTAGGATGCCAAAAAAAGAGTCCAAAACGAAGTAGGAGAGAAAAATTGCGATCAGGTACTGTAGCAGCGCTCAGGCGCTAGGTTTCGGGTTAATATTCCAAAACATACTTCCAAAGTGTTTTTCTCCTTCTGAACTCTTCTTCAAGCCTAATATCAATTTTCAACTCCCAATCGACCTCCAAAATAGAACCTTAACTTGATATAGGACTCCAATAGCATTCCA